TTTCAGTGCAACAAAGTGCTTCACCACTTCCAACAATTACTCTAAGGGGTGGAGTTGGGTTTTGACCCAAGCCTAAGAATTAGGCTACACTTTGTTGAATAAAATTATGTGTGCTTCCACCATCCACGAGGACATATACGCTCTGGTTCAAGATGGTGCTAAGGACTCATAATGTTTTTGGAGCGCTGGATCCAGAAAGAGCGTTCAAAGTAAGTTGGGCCGAGTGAGTAAGGCCCAAAGAGGATTGGGGGTCCATTTCTAGTGAGGGATCTGGATCAGTTTGGGCAGAGATTAATGGGTCGGTGGGTCAGATGGGTCCCCTTCTTTTGCATAAGCAATTAGCAAATAAAATTTTCCAGAGCAGTGATGACCATGAACAAATTGTTGGTCATAGTTGAAGCATAGTCCTTTTTCACGACGTTCAACCATTTCAGCTTCAGTAAGTTGTTTGAAGTGAGTTTTAGGAGGCGGTATGGGTAAAAGTGTAACCTCCCTTACATATTACATTTATTAATCCTAATTTATTATCTAAGTTAGTAATATTTTCAATATTCATAGAAGGTTAATAGAAAATATACCAAGTGAATAATTAATTTAGGTAAAATTTTATATTAAATCAAGCAACAAGTTCTAGTACAAAGTTTTCAAAATATTACAAGTCATAAAGTTATACTTATATGTTATACAATTCCCAACCTAAGCTTTGGATTTTTGCATCCGACATCTATCTCTTGAACTATATATTCTTGCTAGGGATGACAATTAAACCCGTCCCCGTAGGGACCGACCCGTCCCCGTCCCAAGTTTGACTGGAAAAACCCGAGTTGACCGGGGACGGCCGGGTTCGGGTTTTCCCGCTTTAAAAGTCGGGAGCGGGAGCGGGCTGGGATGGGTAATGCAATCCCCACCCCGTCCCCGCCCCAACTTTATATTTAAATTTATATTTTAAAATATTATTATTTTAAAAGTATTTCCTTTTCTTTTTCTATTACATATAAGGTCATTTTTTTATATTTCACCAAATTTTTTTTCTTCTACCCACTTTTTAATTTTTTTGTCTTTTTTAATCTTTTATATCAATTAATTTATTACATTATTCTTTCTCTTACCTTTCAGTTTTTCACATCTCCTTAATCTCTCCCATCAATTTGTTTTTTTTTTTTCAATCTTTTCAACCAATTTGATGAACACAAAGTTAACTTTTTTTTTATTCTTTATCTTTTTCTAAATATTTTACATAAATCTTAGTAGTAACTAATATTATATTATATTATTTATAATTTATATTTATTAGGTTTTATTATGTCATATTTTTTTATCTTATTATTCTTATTTATCATATATCAAATTTTATCTTAATAAAATAATTGTATTTTAAAGAATTAAAGGAATTGATAATTTAAATTTTTATTACTTCGAACTAATTGAATAAGAATTAACTTATTAAATATTTCCTTATAAACTATATATTTCATATTTTTAAATGACAACTTAAAAATGAATTAACTTATATATATAATCAAATGTTTGAATACAGTATTATAATAATAGTGTTATAAATATTCAAATATTTGAATACAGTATTATAATAATAATAATATTATAAATAAAAAATGATTAAATATTTCTTTTACATACATATTTTAATATAAATATAATAAATTAAAATGTATATTTAATTAATAATAATTATAAATTATAAATATTTATTTATATATAAAAAATAGATAGTAAAATTAATTTATTATAAATGTAATTATCTTTTTAAAATTAATATAAATCGGGGACTGGCGGGGCGGGAACCGAAACCCAGCGGGACGGGGATGAAGACTTAATTTCTAACCCGCGTGGGACGGGGATGGTTAAAAAGTCGGGGGTGGGGATCGGGAGGCAAAACCCACCCCCGCCCGCCCGTTGCCATGCCTAATTCATGCATCACACGTCACCAACATCCGGGATTGAAATATTTATGGGGTTAGACATTTAATTTTATCCACAACAAATAAAACAAACATTCATACGATAAAATTAACCAATGAAACATTCATTCTAATAAGTTCATAACTGCATATAAATATACAACCATATATAATTTAATTTGAAAATTAATTATGAGAAACAAATAAATAAATCATGGAATCATAATAGAGAATATCATACAAATCATAAATAATTTAAAATTTCATCATGCAATATGTTTATGATATGCACATGTGACTCAAAACGTAAAACTTTAAAATCATGCTTTTGACTCAAAATCTAAAAAAATTATTTTTGACTCAGTCCTCCATGGAGACTCATTTGAGTGTCTAGTGGAACTAGAGCTTAACATCATCCTGTCCGGTGATTCGGCAATGCCCCACTAAACACGAACAAGTAGACAGTAGTTGGAGTGTCAGTGCACCCGACAGGCTACCACGACACAGAATCAAATAAAGACTGGTCACTTATGGAATTGCCCATGCCTAAACACTCCCTAGACCAGATGTCCATCCCCATAGACCAGAGGTCCTGTCTTACCTATTCTACTCCCCCATTTACTATCAGAGATTCTGGTAGCTCGATTCTCAATAATTCATTCTCATACATTCTCTATCTCATTTGGCCGACCATTTTCATAGTCATATTCCACTACCAGATTCTCTTGATAGTAAATTGACTCACAAAAATATTTTCAAAATTTTGTTTTGCACATCATTATTACTACCAACCGTCCTTGGTAGCAACTTAAGAGAAATTTCCAAATACTTTTCTGTGAGTTCCAGAAAATATTTCATGCACTATGTTTATGTCTTGTATAAAATGAAACAGTCTATCATCAATTAAGTACTTAGAAACATCTCATTCATATATTCAAAATTTCAATTGAAATTCATAGTTGCTTCAAACAAAACAATTTCTATTAATACTCTATTTCGTAGGGTTAAGTGTTTTGTCCATATCTCGAGTTCTAGACCTCCTTTTAAAATGATTCCAATTGTGTTGGAAAGACAAGACAATAACCTATAACTTTGATGAAGGCACTATCCTCAAATTTGAATGTTTACTAAGTTCTTTTCCTAGTAAACAAAGAGGAGTTAATATACTGTTTGGCTCTATCTCGATTATACCCTTAACCTTTTCCAAAATTTCATTTATGTCCCTAGGTTGTAAAATGACTATTTTACCCTTGGACATTTCCTATAATTCCATCAATGTCCCTAAAATGACTATTTTACCCTTGAACATTTTCTATAATTTCATCCATATCCCTAAAATGACTATATTTACTATTTTACCCTTGGACATTTTCTATAATTTCATTCATGTCCCTAAAATGACTATTTTACCCTTGGAAATTTTCTATAATTCCATCCATGTCCCTAAAATGACTATTTTACCCTTGGACATTTTCTATAATTCCATTTATATCCTTAAGATGTGTAATGACTATTTTACGCTTGATCTTTTTCAAAAATTCCTACCAAGTCTCTTTCTTCTTCCTCCGCTCCCTATAAGTCATTTTCAAAATCCAGATTTCCAATTTTTCAGTTTAAAGCACCCAAATTAGTTCTAAATCAAAATTAAACATGCAATATGTCCAAATTAAGTAAAAAAAAAACAATTATACTATATAACTCATTCTTAATTTCAAGAATTTCATCAACATTTAAAACTTTGCAAAATATAAATAGTAATCACCTCCAGTACACCATTTTCAAAATCCAAATTTCAAATTTCTCAGTTTCCAAATTAGTTCCAAATCAAAATTAAACCATAAAAATGTTCAATTTAAGTTAAAAGCAACAATTTTATTATATAATCCATCCTTAATTTGAAGAATTTCAACAAACATTTCAAACTTTCAATCAGGGAATCAACCATCAAATTCAGACATTTTGATAAAATTAAACATCTACCCTCATACCTGATTTCTCCAAAATCTTATTACTCTCCTAATTTATTTTGCTCCTCTTTCCTCCTTTCTCTCGATTTCTTCTTCTCAGAATTCCAGTGCCTCTTTGTTAGTTCTTCAAGTTGCGGGAATTATGTTTTGGTGTAAGTAAGTTTCAAATTTCTTCCTATTTATACACTTATATTACCGACTTATACTCCTTCTTGAATTTTCTTTAATTTTATTCTCCACCGCCTTATTTCACCAACTCAATTCAAAGGTTCCACCGACTTGATCCAAAACTACGGTTCGACTTCTATTTCTCTCTTTTCGTAGTTTTTTTTTACTTATAGTATTAAATTCCTAAATGTTTATTTATTCATTTATTTAAGTTAATTATTAAGAATTATAATAAATTATTATTTATCACAATATTAACCTTGGATTTTATTTTAAAATTTTCAAAAATCATGTTTTATTTTTATAATAACTTTATATAATATTTAGTACATATTTATAGCTTACAAAATTTATTTATATAATTGGTTGAAAAATTTAGGATGTTACAAAAAGTGGTGGTAGGGATTGTGCCGGTGATGAAATGAGTTGTGTAGTCGGAGTAAATGGCCGAGAAGACCATTGTGTGGATTTGATACGGAGGTGACGATATAACTCCGATAACCGTTCTCATGTAATTGAGCCAACCTCGCAGTGACGTGGAGGGAGGATGGTTGTTGCGCAATGACCTTGCGTTTGATATCCGACTTCAAACTAAAGATAAAGCAACTCAGAAGAAGAGAAGGTTGAATCCCCTCAATACGGTTAGCCAAAGCCTCGAATTCACTCAGATAACATTCGACAGAGGACGATTGAGTGAGCTTAAAAAGATTACCTCGGGGGTCGTTGAAGGCGGTGGGAGCAAAATGATTTTCCAGCGCACTGAGGAATTGGTGCCAAGAAACCAACTGGTTATTGTGGTACATCCATTGGTACCAAGCAAGAGCAGGGTCGTCGAGGTAGAATGAAGCAATGGTGATGCGGTCCTCCGATGGAGTATCGTGGTAATTGAAAATTTGAGAGATCTTGAAAATCCATTCGGTGGTGTGGTTCCACTGAAACGAGGAACATCAAGCTTCGGAAGATGTTTGTGGGTGAAGTTTTCAGAGAGTGGGGAAACTTTCAGGGGGCAAGGGGAGACAGGAAGAGAAGTGCTTTCCAGAGCTAAAACACGATTTACCACCTCGTCCAGTCGTTCGGTCATGGAATTCTGAAAGGAGGTAAATTTTAGTAAAAGTTCATCAAGTTTTTCACTAGTATACTTGCTTCTGGTGTTATCGGCCATGGGAGGAGAGAAATGGTCAATGAAAGCACCAATGATGGGTGGGGGATAATTTTTACTATGTATATGAGGCAGAGTTGACCTCCTTAGAAGAAAAATAGAGAAGGAATAAAAACTTTTCTTTTTCTCCTCTCAATGGAAATCAATACATCATTTAATATCTTAGATTTCATGCTAACAGAATGCGTGATTGAAACATAATAAACAATTGCAAAATAGGGTAACAAACTATCTCTCTTGATCTTTCCGTATCTTCTAGAAACTAATACCTCATTCTACAAGATAGAATCAAGTGAAAAGAACAATACTAATAGTAGATAAAATCTTTGTTGTTGTTGGACTTGACTTCACGTTTGGGCCTCTGAACTTGATTCCTGCTGATTGATTATTGGGTTGGAAAATGTTTAGGCTGATCTAGTGCTGGATATGTAACATTACTCCACAAATTAAATATAGAACATCTAATGAAGTGAGGCTGAAAGTTAAACCTTGTGTTAATATATTTTTATATTGGAGCAAATGACTTAATAGTGATGCTAAATAAACAATGTTGTTTAACTAGTTCGTAGAAAAAAAATCAGTATTGTTTTATTTATTTTGGTATTATAGGCTTTATATATTTAAGATAAACAATTATTTAGTATCAGATATCTTATAAAAATACAAAAATTACAGTCAGAGTATTTAAGGGTCTATTCAATTAAGAAAAATGTTAATAAAATATTCTTATAACAAAATGACATAAAATTTAAATATTTATTTTAAAAATAATAAATAATGAAATTAAAATTAAATATTTATTCAATCATATAAAATTACTTATATAATTATTAATTAATTTTTTATTGATAATTTTTTAAAAACAATACCTCGATCTATCTTATTTTTTTAATAATATCTAATTATAAAATATTATTATTATAGAATTATTTAAAATTAAATTAGTAAAGTAATATCATATTACAAATAAATAAAAAATATGCTAAATTATTCATTTGATTTTTATAATCATATATATTAAAATCAAAACATAAAATCAAATAATAATTTATTTAAATAAAAATAATTTTGTAATATAAAATCTTTCTTATATTTTTAATTATTTTTAGTTTATGAAAAAAAGTAAATATATCTATTTATTTATTTTTCTATGTTAATCTTTTTCACTCTCCACTTGTTTCTTATCAACGTAAATAAATGTTTCAAATTTTAACGCTCAAAAATAAAGTTTTAATTTTTATTGTCTAAAATTTGTTTATCGCCCGTGACAGTGGGTGAAAAGAGAAAAAGTGTCGGAAAGATGTGGTGCTGATATTTAGGGACTTGTGGTTTCAATTTTGGCTTAGTTTATGGTCCTAGGGCACTCAGCGTTCCATGGTCACAAGTCTCGTAGAACAGTAACTTCAAGATAACTTAAAAAAAAAATAATAATAAATTTACACATGAGAAGTATTTTTCGATTTAGTATTAAGTGATTTTGTCAAGATTTTACTATGAAAAATTACCTGGACTAAAGAAAGAGCGACTGATTTTGTCAACATTTTATTTTGGAAAATTACGGAGTAAGGAAACAGAGTGATTATATAATCCTGCGAGGATTTATGATGAATTAAAATAATTTTTTATTAGAAGTTGTCTATATTTCTTGATAGGATCCACGATATAATCCCAAATTTATTAATACATACAAAGTGTTATTTGTGCTAATATTTGATAATTTTATCTTGAAAAGTATCATCATAAATTACATAAACAATTTTATTATCTATCGTTACGTCGTGAAAATTTAGTGAAACAGTTTTGCCTGTATCACAGCCACTTAACTTGTTCAGTGATTTTATTCAAATAAATTAAAAACCCAAATATTTATAATATTATAATTTTATCTATTTTTATTCTTTTAGCGTATTTTCTCTTTCATTTTCCTTAAATCAATAACTCTTGCTTCACTAATTTTCTTTGATATATTATTTTTTTCTTTACTTTAATTGAACTTGAACTGTTGGAGAAGGATTAATCCATGGGATTCATTTAAGGAATAACGCACTTACGAGGACTAAATAACAAAAACAGGACAAGGAAGATTTGATGTTTGCTTAGAAAGTTACAAATAATTTGTATTATTTTCCGAAATACAAAGCTAAAGCATAGCTATGAGTTGTAAACTGAAGATGCAATCACACCAACAAACATGAATTGGGTGATGCTGGTCTTAATTCTCTTTAGAGAAAATACAAGAACTGATGTAGATGACTCATGGTGAATAATCCCCGAAGGTTCTCAAACTTCGATAGATATATGACAAATATTCTTCAAGTGACCAAATTGGTTGATTATACGTTGAAATTAGTGGTTGAATTTTTTGCCCAAAACCGTAGCTCGCAACTCAGCAACATCAACCTCGTTGGTGTTCTCCGGTTTGTAGTAACCAGTGACAGGATCTGGGACCCACGAAACCTTTTCAGCACCTCTCACCTTCTCTTCCCCTGATTTTGGGGCTATTTTGCCGCTGATGGAGGCGCTTCCTCCTCTTGTTGCGCTTTGTGTCGCCGTCGCAGCCGCCGCAAACCCACGCCTGTTCCCACACAAAACCATTAACCACTACCTCACCAATTATTCATCCCTCACTTCATCACCCATTACAACAAGATTCCTCCTTTCATAATAAAGAACATAAAAGAGAGCAAAAAGTTTCGAGGAGAAAGATTTGGTGTACCTGGTGAGAGTGTTGGAGAATCCGTCGGCGACAAGAGCAGAGAGAACCTTAACGGTAGTGAAAGAGCGAGCCATGGATGATTCAGATGATGAAAAGGTGTTCAACTGCGGAAAGCTTGTTCCTTAGAAGCGAATGAAGAAGAGAAAACAAGCTCTCCACAGAACACTAGCGAAACCTCTGTGGTCTACAACGTTCCTGAAGACAAGTTATTTTGTTACGAGGTGTTAGAGACAATGGATCTGGTATATATAGGCAAAAGAGAAGAGACGCGTTGGGAAAAAGAAAATTCCTTGCATCCTTACCCAAGGAAATTCCTCTTTTTCACACCACACCTATTCGTTTTTTTAGAGCCATTTAATTCTACCAACCTTTCTTTTTCACGTCCCAATATTTTGTTTTTCAGAGCCAAACCAAACCAAAATATATCATATATACAATGCACTTGTCCAATTCAATATTAAAAAAAAAAAAATCATTTTTAAAACAATTTGATGGTGTCCTCAATAATAGCGAACAATTATGTACAAACAGATAAGATTGCAATAACAACTTCTTTTGTTTACACCCTAATTACCTCGATTCAAATAGATAAAAATATCAGAACTGTATTAATCTCATCATATTTTTATAGTTTATAAATTTTACTTAATTAGGATGATTCACTATTATTATATATAAGATCTTTCATGTTGGTTATCATATCAAATTTTAAAAATTTATCTGACACATTTTTATTTTCAAACGTATCTTTACATTTAACATATAAATATATTAAAATATATAAATATATTTGTATTATATATTTTATATTTATATATTTATATAAATATATATTTATTTATATATAAATATAATTTATTTGTAAGTTATTATAAAAAAATTTTAGTAATTTAGTAATTGGAGTATAATCTCCAATTTTAAGTTACTTGGATTTGAATTTTATTAGTGATAATTTTTTTAATTTAAGTGAATTTTTGACTGCTAAAAATTAATGTGAAAAGTACTTGCTACATCAATTTATTAAAAATCGATATAGAATATGTTTAACTTTTAACGTCATTTTTTAGTTAATCAATATTAAAATTGAATTCAATATCACCTTAACTTTAACTAATAACTGCTAAAAACTGATGTAAAAAGTATTTTTTACATCAATTGATTAAAAATTAATATGAGGTTAAATGACAATATGAAAAAATATATTTTATAATTTATTTTTTCAACCAATATTATGTAAGTAATTAGCATATTCTAAAATCAAATACAATATTTTGTTCTCAAAATAAGAGGAGATGTGGATTTTCTTGACTACGAGAATAAAAATAGGAGATAAAAAAATAAAGGAATAAATTATAATTTAATTAAAATATTACAAAAATGTAACAATTATTCGTAAATATTGTATAAAATGGGTGGGGAACTATAATTGGCAAGAATTAATAATTATGCTAGGAAAAGTCGGCGTTCGGCATTGATAAAATACTTTATTTATGGAGCCAGTGTTTTCCAGAACATTAGAATGACCGTTGCTTCGCAGGATAGCGTGACATCAACCTTCCACGTGGCAATGTTAGTGGAAAGTTTGAAAGAGACTGCTTGTCAAGAAAATCTTAATGATGTGTTTGTTACAACATGGTACTATTAAAAAAAAAGAGCATATATAATTATTGTTAAAAAAAAAGAAAAATATCAAAATTGTTACTTTTAAAGGTTAATTTTATTATTCATATATTTTTTTATCCATTTTCTTTCTTCTATTCCATCCATGCACATACATGACGTAGCCTAAGTCACGAAGAAGTGAAGGAGTCAAACGGGGGTGGATGAACTATTCTTCCATTTGAAGTTTACAACTTTGGCAACTTGTTGATTAGTATTATTGATGAGGAAGAGGTCCTTCATGGGAATCTTCCAATGCCAATTGACAACTTCTTAGATGATGAGGAAGAGGTCGTTCATTCTATGTTCCTCAATATCTTACCTAACTATTCCTTCATTTTATAAAAGAAGAAGACATATTATTCACCAATAAGTAATCTCTTAAAATATTCCATTAAATCTTAAGGAATATTTATTCTTTTAATTCTTCTTATGGCATGCTTGTATACTAAAGTTATGTTTGATATGAGAATAAAAAAGAGGAAAAAAAATCTTCGAGTCATTTTAATATTTATTTATTATTTTTAATAATTGGATTAATAATAAAAAGTATACATAAATAATATATTAAAAAACATAAAAATAATATTAACATAAATTTTAAATTTGTGAATAAATTGTTTATTGTGCTTTCCTAATGATTTGAATGATCACATATAACATATTTAACGAAAATTTAAATTGTTAATAGTACTTGTTGAATATAGAAGAAATAGAGTTTGAGATTAATCTCTCTTGTGTATAAATCACACATAGGGTAGTCTATTTATAGTAGAGAGATATAACTAAAAGAGTAATCGAAAGTAACGAGAATAAATAGAAGATATTATTTGATATTGTTGTTAACAATATCTAACAATATCTTAACAATATCAAATAATATCTAAATAATATCTAACACTCCCCTCAAGTCTGGAGCATACAAATCGTATGTGTCAAGCTTGTTACAAATATAATCAATTCTAGGATCCCGTAAAGATTTAGTAAAAATATCTGCTAACTGATCACTTGAGTTAACAAACTCAGTCTTGATGTCTCCAGACATAATCTTTTCTCGAATGAAATGACAGTAAATCTCAATGTGTTTGGTCATCTCATGAAAGACAGGATTAAAACTAATATGAAGAGCATCCTGATTGTCACACACAAGTGACATTTGAGTGACATCTCCAAATTGTAACTCTCTAAGCAATTGCTTGAGCCAAACAAGTTCACAAGCAGTGAGGCCATAGCTCCATATTCGCTTACGCACTAGATCTTGCCACAACACTTTGTTTCTTACTTTTCCACGAGACCAAGTTACCACCAATGAAGACACAATATCCAGATGTAGATCTTCTATCCGAAGGAGATCCTGCCCAATCGACATCCGAGTAGCAAACAACTCTTGTATGGTTATTAGAATCATATAACAATCCTTTTCCAGGAGATCCTTTAATATACTTTAAGATACGAATGATCGCATTCCAATGATCTTCACATGGGGAATTAAGAAATTGGCTTACCACACCGACTGCAAAAGAAATGTCGGGACGAGTAAGCTGTAAGATAATTCAATTTTCCAACCAATCTTCTATACTTGCTCAGGATCGGGTATAAGCTCCCCCGATTTGGTAGAAGTTTAGTATTGGGATCCATGGGTGTATCAACAGACTTTGAATTCATCAACCCAGTTTCCTCCAAAATATCCATGACATACTTCCTCTGAGATATAACAATACCATCATTGGACTGTGCCACCTCAATACCCAATAAATATCTAAGTTTGCTAAGATCTTTGGTCTGAAAATGGTGACAGAGATGTTGTTTCAACTGAGAGATGCCATGGTTGTCACTACCTGTAAGAACGATGTCATCAACATATACTATCAAGTAAACACATCCAGCACTTGAGTGTCGATAAAAGACAGAGTGATCTGCTTCACACTGAGTCATACCAAATTGTTGAACAACCTTACTAAACTTTCCAAACCAGGCCCTAGGAGACTGTTTTAGGTCATATAGGGATTTGCGAAGACGACATACCATCCCAGAAGACTCCTCCTGAGCAACAAACCCAGGAGGTTGCTCCATATAGATTTCTTCTTGCAAATCACCATTGAGGAATTTTAACATCTAGTTGATAAAGAGACCATTGTTGAAGAGCGGTCATGGCGATAAATAAACGAACAGAAGTCATCTTTGCCACAGGGGAAAAGGTATCTCCACAATCCAACCCAAAATTTTGAGTATAACATTTAGCCACAAGACGAGCTTTGAGGCGATCAATAGTACCATCAGATCCAACTTTGATAGCAAACACCCACCTGCAACCAACAACAAATTTCCCAAACGATAACGAGACCAATTCCCAAGTTCCACTATTATGAAGAGCACTTAGTTCATCTTACATGGCCTGACACCAACCAGGATGGGCTAAAGCTTCACGGACAGTTTTTGGAATGGTCACAGAAGAAAGAGAGGAAAGACATGTATAAAAAGGTAATGACAGTCAATGATAAATCAAACCAATATAATGGGGAGAGGGATTACGTGTAGAACAGATACCTTTTTGGAGGGCAATGGGAAGGTCATACTCAGGTGTCACATCCAGAGGAGACAGAGTAGTTGACACTTGAGTAGAGTCACATGGTGGTGGTTGTGATTGGTTTCAGCAACTATAAACCTGAAGAGGCAGTAAAGAAGAAGCTGACTGTGGAGTAGAAACTAATGTGAAGAAGACACAATTAGAGGGTCACAAACAACAGGAGCATTAAATGTACTAGGAGTGTTGACAAGATTGGATGGAGAAAGAGGTGAAGATTGACTTTTAAAATAAAAAGAGAACTCATCAAAGGTGACATCTGCAGACACAAAATAACGGTTTAGAGAAGGAGAAAAACATTTGTATCCTTTTTGTGATCTTGTAAACCCTAAGAAAACATATTTATGTGATCTAGGAGAAAGCTTGTCAAGACCAGAACTGAAATTATGAACAAAACATGTAGACCCGAAAACTTTTAGAGGTAAGGGATGAAGTGGTTCATGAGGAAATAAAATTGAATGAGGTATTTTATTATCTAAAACCGAAGATGGCATGCGATTAACAAGATAACATACAGTAAGAAGAGCATCACCCCAAAAATGCTGAGGAACGTCTCCATGAATTAAAAGAGTGCGAGTTGTTTCAATAAGATGTCTATTTTTACGTTCAACTACACCATTTTGTTGAGGTGTATAAGAACAAGAAGTTTGATACAAAATACCATGAGAAACCATGAATTGTTTAAAAGAATGAGAAAGATATTCATGACCATTATCACTGCACAAAATTCTAATAGAAACACCTAACTGAGTTTGAATTTCATTGAAAAAAGTTTGAAAGATATGAAATAATTCAGAACGATTTTTCATCAAAAATAACCAAGTGCATCTG